AGGGAACAGCACAAAGCACATGAGTTCTGGAGTTGAAGGAATCTGGCTTCACACCCCAGTTCCTCAAATGATGAGCTATGAGCCTCAGTTCTCTGCTTCTCCCTGTCAAACAGAGACCACCCTACCAGTCACCCGGCCATGCTTTTATGGGGATCACAAAATGTGTGTGGGTAGATTTAGTACTGTGCCAAAGCACAGCTCTAGCTAGTGCTCTGCAGAGCGAGAATTTGGGGTGGCCAGAGAACCGCCCTAAGTGGGTGGTTATGGACCCGAAGATAGCAGGGCCCTACCTCATGCACAGTCTGGGTGCCCAGCTACTGGCTAATGAAGGGTCACTGTGGCTAGCCGCAATCCTTCTAGAAGCAGCAGTACCGGCAAAAGGCTGAGGAGAGTTTCTGCCCGTGTGAAGGTGGCCAGGCTAGACAGTCCCCATGGGCTGCTCAGCTTGTCGTCTTAGACATGCAGGTCCAAGTGTTCCCAAAGGGCAGTTATCTTGTTCCCTCCACTATGGGACAGTCTGTCCTGGGTCACCACAGAGCTGGCCCTCAGGAATCTTGTGATGAGGGGGTCTGACCATCATACTTAGTTCCAGAGTTACCTTCTCCAGTTCAGAGAGTCGGGCCCAGCACACCTAATGAGCCCAGCAGACCAGCCCTGCTAAGAGCCAAAGGCTGCAGGGTCCCTGGTGCAATCAGGCAGTGCGGGGGAAACCAGGGCCTCATGCCCAGTCACTGGTGTCTCAGGGCAAAGCTGTGCTGAGAGCCAGCTGCCCTTCGGTGGTCTTCACGAAGTGGAGCACCCACAGCTCCTCTCATCTCCTGTTCAAAGCAAAGGGCCTTCCGCGAGGGTTCTGGGAAACACAGCCAAAACTCCTGGGTTCTCATCAATAGTTTTAATAACAGTAAATGCAGAAAACAGTGTAACAGCAAAGTCTCACAGGGAGGGTTCTTTTCATTCAAGGATCTTCAACCACAGAAACACCAAAGACTACAATTCAGAAAGCTAGGGACGCATATTAACGACTGCTGATTGCCAAAGGTGACTGCAGAAACCATTTCCATACAATCAAGAGGTTTTACAGAACAAAGAACCACATTACCAAATGCCTGGAGGTGAGTCAACTGGTAGGGAGCCCAAAGCCCTGGGAACCAGCCATTCTGGGGATTACAAAGACTGGTTCTAGAGGGAGTCACTGGGGGAGAGGCTGACATGGAAGGTAGGCCCAGGATTTGACAACCCCAGCTTGGGATTGAGGAATGCTGGGGGTGGGGGCGGGGGTGGGTGGGTAAGAGGGGCGCAGCATGTGCCAATTTTCTGGCTGAGTAAATTACAGACCCACCTATCTTATTCTACGCGGCACCACAACACCCATATAGACGAGGACGTCTTTAAACTAGAATACGAAATTGACATGGAAAAGAAACCAGTTTCCAAAACAACAGCTTTGCTCGAAACAAATTTTGTTTTGTGCCACGCAGGAATAGCGAACCGGTGTACAGAAAAAATGCCACAGATAAGAGTAACTGCAAGGGGCCGCGTTTTCCTGAGCACACAGTGGCTCACTCTACATACAGAAGAGGAAGGCTCACTCCCTCTCACGGACTCTTCCCACCTCTGCGAAGGCAAGGTCAGGGGCCAGGGCAGTCCCTTGCCAGTCCCGGGCCTTGACAAGGAGCAGTCAAGGACCTGCAAGAAACCTGGCTTCGTGCCGCTGCTCTGGCTTGACCAAAATCAGCACTGGCCTCTCGCCCCACAGTGTCACTCAACTCAGCTCTTTTCTTCTCCCTCCTTACACTTCGGTAGAAACCACTAAGAAAATCCTCTTCTGAAGCAGACAGATGGTTCTCGATCAATGTCTACAGATCCAGGGAAGACTTTTGGGCAGAGGGAGGGGGAGGGAGGGCCACCTGGACCCCAACACCAGCACAAAGAGGCCTGGTGACACTTCGCAGTCGGGGGGGGGGGGGGGGTTGCGCCCACTCCGAGAAACACTGAATTATCAACGAGCACAAATAGCAAACAAAACCTTGACACACATTCCAGCAGAAGGGGTGACGTGACAGACCAGACGGGGAAGAGCGCCAGCCGTCCTCATGATCCCCACCACCCTACAAGCAGCTTCTGAATGCTGAGAAGTCTGGGGAGAAAAGCTGACGTGGGAAGACTAAGTCCGTGGCTTCCACATAGGCTGACAGGCACGTGTCACCGCGAGTCCGGGAGGAAGGCAGGTGCAGTCATCTTTGGTGTACAGAGCCAGCTACTCGGTGGGGCCCTGCAAGCGGGCATAGCCATCTCTGCTACTCTGAGCTGGTGCTGGGAGCTGGTCAGCTGAACAGATGGTTCCTGTTGGCTCAGATCCTTGGCCAAAGCTACCTGGGGGCCCGAGGGAGTGCTCCTTTCCCTTCCTGGGACTGTTTTCAAGGAAACTGTCCACTCCTGCAAACACACTCCCAGATACACAGGGCACTCCTACACGCTGGCAAGGGGCATGTGGAAATTTGGCCAGGGCGGTTGTGGAACTGCCTTGGCACTGACAGGAAAGCAGTGGGGAGGAGTTAGAAAGCCAGGACCCACTGGTATGGGGACCACCCTCCCAGGTAGGCTGCCATGGTCAGGTCAGGTTACCTCTCTGCATGGACCTGGCTCATGGCACAGACCAGTTAAGATAACCGCTGCTCCCATGTGCCCTCAAGCGCAGGCCATGACTCCTCCTCAGGCATACAGACTGGGCCCACTCTGTTCCTTCCACATGCATGTTTCTGAGCCATCCTGGGCTACAGATGCCCTGCATCTTTCTTCACTGTCCCCTTCCTCTGACAGCTCTGGCCTGGCCATGCCTGGCACATGGCTCTCACTTTCTTCTCTCCTGTGAGCAACAGCAAGTACCAGCCAGATGTGGGGCACTGAGTTCTAGCTAGGGCCAAGGCAAGTCTTTTGAGGCATGCCAATGTGGGGAAAGCTCGGCTGAACGGCAGCCCCTGCCATGCCACAGAGATGGGATGGAAGACAGCTGCAGAGTCGCTGTGCCACTGTGGCGTCTGGCCCCTGCCCAGGTGGCCCCCAGCCTGCAGCGTCTTCATGTTGTGGGAGGGGACAGGACGGGCCATGAGGCCTCCTCCTCTGACCAGTTTCCAACCTTTCCTTTTGTAAAGAAGCCAAGGGCAGGGAAGGCTGCACATTTCCTTACCAGCCATTCCCACAGGTGGCAGTTTGCTGGTGGGCAGCACGAACTCAGCCACTCAAGAGATGCCCCTTGCTAAGGGTAACCATGGGGTGAGAGGCACTAAGAATGGCTTGGCCACGCCCTGAAAGACAGCTCAGTGAAGGTTACACATCGCCAGGAACTCATGTGGAGGGGGGGTGCTCAGTGATCTCGCTCCTGCTGCCCCTTGCCATGGGGGTGGGTGGCCCACTGCCCACAGGCCTCTGGGCCAGGGCGGTCCCTCCCAAGGTAGCATCTCCGCAACTCGGTTTTCCTAGTGAGACTTCCCAGCAATGCCGCTGCCTCCTGTAGGTCCCCTTGCTAAAATCATGACCGCTGAGCCACCGCAGCTCCAGCCAGCCCTAATACAGCAGTAACGCCTCTAATACTGGAACGGGTCCGGGGCAACTGGGCACCTAGGGTGGCAGACAGGAAGGGAGGCCCATCAGAGGAAGCCACCAAACCATCTTTCTTTCCTGTCCATACACAAATCTGTTCTAAGAGCCAACAAGGCGTAGCAGATGCCCTGCGACTGCCACGCTGCTTGCGGCCCACACAGGACCGAACTCACATTTCAACAAGTCTTCCTTTCAGAGCGCTCAAACCTCTACCCACGGAGACCTGCTTCCTTGGTACCTTGCCTTTGAATCTAGACATGGGCTTTGGGGGTGGCTGGTTGCGGGGCTGAACTCTTCAGCACTGACTCTGCCCATAGAGACAACGGCTGGCCCGAGGGAAAACAGTACTGGCAGCGGCTATTATTTGCCCAAACCTAGGCTGCTGGCAGATCAGCTGTAGATGAAATGGCTTGAAGGAGCTGCCCTGGAATCAGGCCTCGGTAACAGGATTGTTCAGACTCAAGCATCCAAAAACAAACGAGTCAACAAACCCAACCCCCCCCCCCCAAAGACCAAAAAAACCCCAACAACCCTAACTCCAGCTCATCCTTCCTTGCAACTGCCTTTTAAGAGAACTTTGAAGGGTTACTCCAGATTGAAATGGCATCTATTATCAACATTAAACTAAAATGGAGCATATGATTCAAATTACAGTTTTGTCAAGTTACCACTTCTGTTGATTAATTTCTACACTCACTCCTGATTGGGATATGTGTCAGTTCTTGCTGGCACAGGCAGAATCTACCCGGGTTCCTGCCCAGTATTAGTTGTGGACATCTGAACTTGGTTCATTTTGGATTTGCCATGGCAACTGCTCTCCCACCCCCTCAATAGAATGTAGTCCTTGGGCCGGAGAGCGCCGCCACCTCCTACCCCAGGCAGCATCCTGGAGGGAGTGGCTGGTTGGCTACTTGCTTTGAGTCATGGGACACCAGTGGGAAGAATCTGGCCAGTTCTATTTTGGCCATGAGCTAGGAAATCCCTTGGCTCTCCCCTTGCCGCTGGTATAGAAACAAGGCCTCAGTCCCCTTACAGCGGGGGCTAGGACGGAGACAAAAGGGGACCTCAGCATGAGCCTGGAGGTCCCTGGCAGTGGAGGAGTGAAGCACAACCCAATCTCATTGCTTCGCTGCCAAAAGAACGACTGATTTTTGTTCCTTTCTCCTCAGCCAGCTGTTGTTAAAGCACCAACAAGCAGAGTGAGAGAGTCACTGACCACCATCTCCCCAAGTAAGGCCACCGGGAGCAGAGAGAAAGAGACAAAGGGAAGAAGGAAAAATCTAGCCCTCAGGACCGTACCCCAGGCTCAAGGAGATGTCCTGGGGGAAGAGCTGGGGGAGGAAGAACGGTGGAAGGAAGAGACAGAGAGGAGGAAAGAAGAAATACACCAAATATCCTACTGCCCTCTCCCATGATTTCATCAAGAACTGGGTGTTCCTCCAAGTCAAGTCAGGACTTGTTTCCTCAGGGAGAAAAAAAAACAACAAGCACCTTCAGTCTATTTTCTTGGCTGGAAGCCGGAGCAAATCTAGCAGATATTTACACAAGGGCCCAGCCATGTATGAGAACAGGATGACCAGCTTCCCGTGGGTCATGGTCATGAGAGTCTGGTGTCCCGAGGCCCAGATGCGATACCAGGGGCCGTAGAATGGGTCTGAGATGGCCGGACACAGCATGTTGTTCAAATTCACTTCGGTGACCTGCAGGGACAAGGGAGGTAGAGTGAGCGTTCACCATCCTTGGGCTTTCTCTGGCTTCTGCCAGTTCAGCCGTCTCTACCAAATGGGGAACTAGACAAGGAGGGATTGGCAAATCCCCACCTGTTCATAAAGGGATTTCTCTCCCCTAGGTTTTCTGAGCGGGCAAGTCTAGAGCCCTCTGAAGGTGATACGGTGTTTGGGGTAGGAAGGCCGTTGGGTGTTGCTCAGTCTTGTCTTCTGGGCGTGGCGGGGGGGGGGGGCGGGGGCTCAAAGCCCATGGCCATTCCTAAGCATGGACTATGTGCCTAGTTCTCGGAGCAGTATTACAGGCTGGAAGAGTGGCCAATGGCCTGGTCTCTGCCTTCACATAACTAGTAATCACTCAAGTTGGGGTGATCAGTCTAACTCTATCTGACCTCAGACCGGATGGCGCTCCCCAGGTCTTCCCCACCATGAGGAGATCTGAGGACTGGACAGAATGGGGTTGAGTCCACAGAGAAGATTTCATGAGGGAAGTGGCACTTGAATGTACTCATGGAGGATGGGAGGGCGTCATGGCGATGAATGGGGTGAGCACAGCCTTCCTTGTAGGAGGTGTGGTCTCAGCCAGGCCTGACGGTGGGGCTGAGCATGGTATGCATGGTGTGACATGAGGACACTGATTCCCCTGGAATCAAGGGATCCCAGTGGAGAGCAGTGAAGATAAGGGTGTGAAGGTCACACTGCTTCCTCCCAGAGCACAGGAGCCATTCGCGCCATTGGCAAGGAACTCAAATTACTCCCCAGCCAAACCAGAGCAGAGCAACATGCCGGGGGGGTTGAGGGGAGGGAGAAAGTGACTGTCTCTACACAGGCGCTGGTGACATCAGTTACATGCCTTCATCCTGCTTGGTCACGCAAGGCTGCACATGGCTAAGGCGACATTCACGCTATTGCGACACAAAACCGGACATGCCACTCCCGCCCGAGGACGGCCACAGCACCCGCCTTCCAGAGCCCTTCGTGCCCATTCACATTCAAGATGAGTCCTCACCATCTCTAGGGAGGTTGGGGATTTTGGACCATGTCACAGAAGGTGAGGTGACTCGGAGTGGTGGCAGACCTTTGGTTACTTACGACCCCTAGCCACAGCTCAAGCTCTTTCTATTCACTTTGTCACCAGTAACCACCCATGCACTCAGCAATCTTGGGCTTCAGATAATTCAACTACTGAGTCCAGCCAACCTCAGCTCTCCAGGGAGTTCTGAACACCCCAGAATGCCGTGGCTCTCCAATACCATCCTGCCATTGCGCACACAGCTCAGGGCCTTGAAACAGGCCCAGAATGAACCCAAGCTCAGAAACATCTCCCAGGCCCAGGGCCAGGGTAGGGTACTATCTCCCCGCAGGGACCACAGCAAACCATTTTCCGACCCAAATGGCCGTGGGTGAAGGGCATCCTTGCCTCCCCAGGGATGAAAGAAACAGTTATTGCTGAAGGATTCTGAAAACTCTTTGGAGAGGCCGAGGCTATGGACCATAAATCATCAACCCAGACACAACAACCAGACATCCTGGCCTTTGGCATCTTCTATTTTCAAAACAAAACGATACACCAGCGCCAACCAGGATTATCGAGATTTATGGAGAGCGCCAAACAGAGGGGACAGAACCAAACTTACCAGGCCCAGGATCTGCAAGACGCTGAAGTGGTAAAAGAACATGAGGCCAGTCGAGAGAAGGGCCCACTGGAAACTGCTGAGAGGCTCTGGGGTGTAAGCACCTGGAGGAAGAAAGGAGAAGGTGAGACAGTGGCCTGCTTTGGTGACCCACCTCAGGAGGGTACAGGTGCCAAGGCCACAGCTGCCACCTGCTGGCTACACCCCTTTGGTGGCTCAGCGACAGCCACTCAACAGACAGCCTGCTGATTAACTAGCTAGAGACTCAGTTAGCCCCCTCTGACCTCTGTTCTGCCACATACTTGCTGGGGACATTACAAAGAGATTTTTGATTAGAAAAGTAGTACATGCTCATTAAAGGCAATTTAGAAAATGTTAAAAGCAGAAACAAGAATATGGAAAAGACACATCCCCAGCAGTCTACCACTCGAAGGGACCCACAGCTAGGATGTGGGTATGTCTCCTTGGTTGTTTTTTCTCTATGTCTCAGGCGCTTCTATTTTTCCTTTAATATTTATATTTTCTCAAATTTTTATTCATTTGCCAATCGTGCACATAACTATATAAATTTGGGCTACACATCTACAGATGTGTTCACTTTACTCACCCTGCACCAAAGCTCCTGTGCAAATGCCCTATCCCTTTGGTTCCCCTACCTTCTCCTTCCACTCCCCTCTTTCTTCTTAAATTCACTACTGGGAGCTTACTGGATGTGTGTGTACAGTCATCTCTATCCATTACCGCATCTCCATAATCCCCACATTTATTTTTATCATTTCCAACTTTTCTAGAGACAAATGGCCACTGAGGTGGCCCAGGTAAGGCATGGGCCAGTAAGTAAGTAAGTAAGTAAGTAAGGCATGGTAGTTGAGAATGTAAATTCTGACATCACACATCTCTGGTTTCAAATTTGTGTTTGACCATGTCCTGGTTGCATGAGTGATGGGGCCACTTTAGATATGTTGAAATGGAGGTGTCTGTGGACTACCCGAATGGAAATGTCTCTTGGGGGCTGGGTGCTACCCAGGAAACGCATTGTGATGGGTGAGTGTGGGCACTGGGGCCCAGCAGATGCAGGTTTTCAAATCCTGGCTCCAGCTCTGGCTCTGTCACTTGGCTACTTCAGGGCCTTGGGCAAGTCTCTGTATCTCTTGAACCCAGTTTCACTCATTCATAAAAAGGGGTGCCATTGCCTACTTCCCCAGTGGCTGGATAGATCAGATGTATGAATTTAATTAGCTCATGATTATTGTGCTGTACTGAGATTTAAGAAATTTTATTATTATGGAGTCACAAACTCAAATAGAGACGAGATGAGGAGCCGAACATCCAGATGTAGGTGTCATCAGCACGTAACAGTAACGAAGGTCACAGAAGCATAGAGGGCCAAAGGGAGGAAGAAGGCTTGATGCAGAATGCCATGAACACCACAGGGCAGTGTGGTGGGGGTGAGGAGAGAAGAGGGGGCGATGGGAGACTGTAGCCCATTTGTGCTAGAAGATCCTTTGAGAGCATCCAACTCATCCATTTAATAGATGGAGAAACTGAGGCTGGAGGGCAATGCCAGGCAAAGTCACAAAAACATTGCCCTGGGGTCTCAAGACACTGCCAGGAGACTCAGACCTGAATGTTCCTGTTGCCACTTGTCCAGGCCTCCATCACCCCAAGTCGTACCCTCTTTCTCTTTGTCTTTCTATTCATCTAGTAGAGAGCGCCTCAAGGCTAAGGACCGTGGGGAACTGGTCTCTGAGTTTTTAGCACTGAGCACAGTGCCTGATGTGTGGAAGGCAGTGGGCTGTGAACTTGCACTTTGTGTGCTTTCTCGCCTGCTAAATGAGTGGCAACTGGGCCACTCACATTCATGGTAAGAGGGACCAAGGACCTGGGGGAGGCTAGTCCTTAGGCTCCGTCTCCTGCTCCCTTGAGCCCCTGAGCCATTTCTACAGGTGTCCTTCCCTCCAGCCTCGGCTTGGCTCCCCCTGGTGGCAGCTGGACAGTAGTGACAGCCCCTGTGGGCCAGGTGGAGGCTGCAGGAAAGGGAAGGAGAGGAAGCGGCCTCGGCCAGGAGGCGGCACAGCAGTCTCAGAGCTGGGGAATGCTGGAAGGAGGCCTTGACCTTGGGCAACCCGTCTGTCATCCTCTTCCTCCCCCACCAACCTGCCCTCAAGCCCAACCTTGTGCTGCCCTATGCTATAGGGGAGAAGGAACACCCAGACACTGCCAGGGTCACGATTTCCAGTGTTCTCACTTGCCCTAACCTCCACTTTAGCACCATTCATTCTGTGTTGCAACATCCATCCACGTCACCCTGTTAGTTCTCTGAAGCACCTCTTCACCTCCAGCAGCTGGCACACAGTAGGCATTGAATAAACAATCACTGCCTGGGCAAATGCCTGGCACAGACTTTCTGGAAAATCATAAAACTATAACCCTTTGGTTCAATACGACTACTTTGAGGACCACCATCAAATACCTAAAAAACTCAGCAAACTGCCCTTATTTACACAAAGATCTTTATACCTGTGCTACCTATACTGTTGAAAAACTGGAAACAAACCAAGCGGGCAGATAAGGTGAGTAAACCGCAGCAACTCAAGGTTGTGCAACAGTCCACGGCCATTCAAACGACAACCAGACCAACTATGTACCTGTGTGGCAAAGTCCCTGGCTAGTCACGGCAAGTACAAAAGAGAGGACAGCAAACTGTACACTGGAGATGGAAAATACAGCTCAGTGGTTCAGAACAAGGGCCTGGGGGTCAGAAAACCTTGGGTCTGAATCCTGTCTCTGCCACTGCCTATAGGGGTATCCTGGGGAAAACTGCTCTGCCCCTGTAAGTCCACTGTCCTACGTGCAGCCTGGAGGGTGCACCTCTAGAGGTTGCTGAGTGGAGTAAGAGATACAGAAAAGTAAATACAACAGCTCAGCTGGCACACAGATGGCAGCTGCTATTTTTATCATGGCAGCCACAACCACCTCATAACAGACTGGAAAATCTCGTAAAAAACTGGAGAAGATGGGGCCTCTTGTGAAGAGGCGATCTTCTCTCTGAAAGGGGACGCTGACTCTGGTGTCTCCTGCCCTTTCACGCCTGTTAGTTCTTTTCACTGAAAAGATGATCGAATCCTCAATGTCTTTGAAAAATAAGAAAGGGAAGCACCCTGAGAAGAGGTGACCCATTCTGCATAGACACATGCAGATCGTCTGCATCCGCACATCATTCTCTTGCTTCTGTATACCTGGATGTGGCCCTTGGGATAATCCCAGTGAAAACCAGTTTTCCTTTAAAGGAAAATAGAAACTTAAGCACTTTTAGAAAAATTAAACACATAAAACATTTTTCTCCTACTTTAAGAAAAAATGTGACATTTTCTACTAGCATCTTCTATCCCAGGAGGTAGAAGTATTTCAGCTCTGGAAGGTAGGAGGAAACCAAGATAATAGCTTTTTCTGAAATCGATTTCTGCCAGAAGGAAACTTTATGAGTGCTACGAAAGAAGTCAATTGTGCCACCAGCTGCAAAGACCTATCCCCAGAGTCCTCCCCAGGGCCCTGTGTCTCATCCTATGGTCCCACCCAGGAAGGACTTACACCAAGGGACGGGACCGGGCAGGGTGGCGTCACATTCTCCAATCTTCTTCCCACTCCCTTCAACTCGCTCACTTCTTTCTATACGTTACCCGCTCATTCACCATCCACCGAGTGTTCAGTGAGCACCAGAGTCGGCGCAAGGCAGTGGGCTAAAGAAGTAAAGGTAGCCTGGGCCCTGAGCATGAGCCTGCAGCTGACAAGTGAACGACGAGATAGTACAGCAAGGAAAGCACAGGGAGCAGTGGGGGCACTGAGGAAAGGGAGCTGGAAGATATGACACTCGAGGTGAGCTGTAAAGAGCAGGAGTTGTTGGGGAAGGAGCCTGAACATCCCGGGCTGAGGACACAGCCTGAGAAAGGCGTGGGGGCAGGAGTGGCGTGCTGCTGGCATGTGATTATAGCAAGTCTGTGTTACTGGAGCATGAAGTGGGAGGGGACATGGGTAAGAGGCGAAGCTGGAGACACAGGCAAGTGGGCCCAGGTCATGAAGAGCCTTGTCTGTTATGCCAGGGAACTTGGCCTTAATCCTACATGAGGAAGAGCCATGGAGAAGGGTTTAAAGTGGGGGTGGGGCACAGTCAGATTCACGTTTTGGCTAACTACAGTGTTCTGGCAGCAGATGATGGATGGAGAAGGACAGGACTGAAGACTGGCTCAGATACTGCTGTGGTGCTACAGATAACCTGGCAATGTGTTGGCCATGAAGGAGACTAGTCTAGGGTGACTCCCAAGCCAATGACTTCAGTAACCAAGAGGAGTTGATTTAGGGGAGAGATGAGTTCAGCTTGGGCCATGCGGACACTGAATGCTTGTAGGTATTAAAGTAGTCATCTCCAATAGGCTGGGGGTGTCCAGGTCTAGAGCTCAGGGGAGGGACATGGCCTAAAAACAGAGCTTGGGGTGTAGAGAATCTCAATGAAGAATTCACAGAATGAGCCTAGAGGACCCACCCAGGTCATAGCCTGGGAAAGAGCAATAGCTTCCACAAGTAGATCCATAAAAAAAGCCTAAAGATTAAAGGCTACCACTACCCATACTGGTAATTTATATTTAAAGGAATTAAAATTAAATAAGATTAGAAATTTGGATCCTTAGTCACACCAGTCACCCTTCAAGTGCCCAATAACCATACGTGCTTAGTGGCTACCCTATTGGGCCAGGTTGGGCCAGAACATTCTGTCCTCCTCCTTCTCCTCTCCCCCTCCTCCTCCTCAGAGAAAATTCCCCTGGGAACATACTTCCCTGGTGAGGTACAGTAAAGACAAGCATTTCCGGGCCTCCCTGGTGGCGCAGCGGTTGAGCGCTGGGTTGCGAAGCTGTCCGCAGCCTCTGCAGCGCCGGTTCCATCCCCGGCCGCGGGCGAGTGTCCCACATGGCGCGAGACCTCTCCTGCCTCCCGCTGCTCCCCTCAGCAGTGTACTTCGGTCCTTCTGCCTGATCTGCTCTCTGCTCTGGCTCTGGTGAATTCTCTCACCCTCCCGCTCTTCTGACTGTACCCAGTGCTTGTATAAATA